CCATGTGGCTATTTTGCCAGGATATGAGTTTTATCAATGGTGTCCCGCTTTACCAATGTTAAAATCGGGTCACCTTAAGCTAGAGGGGAGCAAGGAATCCAGGGAGGATTGTAGTGTTGTGGAGTGAGGCCAAGATAAAAGAGCCCTGGTGGCATAGCTGGTCTGGCATTGGGCTGCGAACTGCAGGGTCAGAGGTTCAAGCCCACCAGCAGCTCCTCGGGAGAAAGACGGAGCGGATGGTGATGAGGCAATGTGAGGGAAGGGGCAGCATGGCAGAAGCAAAGTCTTTGAGGGAGAGAAAGCACACGTGGAAGGTGTGGCCTTTGATCCAAGGGATAGGCAGCCCTTTGTCACAAGAAGGGGAACACGTGACAGGTTCGGAGGCTGGGGTGCTAGTGGACTGGTAGGGTCCCAGTCCTCTAGCCTGCTCCTCACGGACCACTGCTGTCTGCTCAGTTCTTTTTCTGAAGCAGCGAGGGTCTGCTCTGGACGGGGCACTTTCTGGGTTCTGAGTGTCGTAACGTGTGACCCCCACAGTGTTGTGCATTCACATCTCCACCCCACATTAGCACCCCACCCCCACCCCTGTGGACCCTCACTCCCACTCCAGAGGACATGGCATGCCAGCGTCAGGAGTCTGGATGGATTTTGAAGAACAGGCCGCCTTGGGCAACACAGGGCATTCCCTGTCCAAGACAGAACTCTAGCCTTCCAGGTGGAGGGGCCTGATGGTGGGTGGGAAGGGCCCAAGATGGGAAGAGCCATTTGAGGTAGGTTGGGGTCCCTGCCAGACAGGTGAACTCAGCCTCAGAGGGTCAGTGATTTGAGGTGAGACGATGGAGTCTTTGGACGGTGCTGGGTCAGATCCTACTTCTTCCGAACTACCCTCCGCTAGGGGGCCCTGGCAGAGCAATGTTTAAGGGCTCACCTACTCACAGAAAGGCCAGGGGTTTGAACCCATTGTCCACTCTGCGGGGAAAGTCCTGACAATGCTGCTGTGTGGATGGGAACTGAGGAGGACCTGTGGGGCAGGTCTCCTCTGTCACATGGGGTCCCTGTTCTCCAGCACGCTGCTGCAAAGCCTCGCCCACTGCCCCCAGCTCCTCAGGGGACCCTCCCTTTCATCTGCAGCCATGGTGGCCCATCTTGGGAGCCCTTGTGTATTCATTCCAGTTCTTTGTAACCGCTCCTCCTCTCTCCTGTGGCTCCCCTCCTCCCACCAGGTGTGAAAACCTGGGCAAATATTAACCCCAGGTGAGGTTTCCAAGAGGGGAAATAAACCTGAGGCCCAAGAGGACAGGAGACCAGCACCTCTATGCACCCAAACTCATGTCACTGTCCCACACCACCCGCACCCTGCTGAGCGTGTGCTGGAGGGCAGGGGGACAGCGAGAGACAGAACTCTGTCACTACTAGCCCTCCCTCTCATTGAGGCTGGCAAGACTGCAGGAGAGGGAGCAAAGAGAGGAGGGGCCAACAGAAGATGTGACAGGGTCCCCTTCCTACTTCCTATTCAGGGGGACAACCTGGCGGTGGATAAGCAGGGGGTGGAGGCAGTGCTAGGAGACGGTCATCGTCATCGGAAGTCTGCGGCATCTGGGGCCATATGGGGGGCCCTGGAGCTGGGGGGGGTGCTTCATGGGCTGGGGGCAGCGTCCAACCAGGCTGAGTGTCCCCTCCTGTTTGCATCCTCTGGGGAGCAAGGCCCAGGAGAGGGCTTCCAAATCCGTGGTCACGTGGAGGGGGGTCACTGGTGGCACAGAAGGGAGTCCAGCCTTCAGCTTTTGCCCCAGTGACGTGGGCAGGTTACCTAAGCCTTTCCTGTGCTTATTTCCCCCCCCCCTCCACCAATCTGCCCCCCATACCCGCCCAGTGGGTAAAGAATCTGGAGAGACTTTTTTAAGGCTGTGCCCTTCTCTTTCTGTCTCTCGCCCCCTTTCCCACTATTTATTTTCCTTGTGTTTGCAGAATATAACACGCACAAAGGAAAACCCATTCTACGTAGTTGTGCGGTCTGTCTCATCAAAACAGTAACCGACAGAATCCCAGGAAACTGTCCATCTCACACACCAACACACACACAGACACACCCACACACACACAGACACACCCACACACACACAGACACACACACCTAGACACACCAAGACACACACAAAGAAAGACACACAGACACACTAAATATGGTCCTTTTGCCATCGTTATCTTTTTTTCTTTTAAAAATCATTTTATTGGGGGCTCTTACAGCTCTTATAACATTCCATCCATCCATTGTGTCAAGCACATTTGTACATATGTTGCCATCATCCTTTTCGAAACATTTTCTTTCTACT